AGAGAACTGGGGTTCAGCAGAACCCAAAGAAGTCCTAAAGCATGACATCTCTCACAGAGTGTTTGCATAGGAGAAATCTGCACTCTTGTGAGTTAGAACCACACAGATTCTGGTAATTTTCTGCATTAAATACTATGAACAGCCTGAATTTCCTCTGCCACTGTTACTTCTCCCCCCACCTGCAAGTAAACACATGAATAGCTCAAGTTATAGAGCCAGCTGTTGATATATGAATAACTTTATATGCTCAGTGTCCTGACTGTGTCAGTTTGATCCTCACTCCTTAATTTTTTTAAAAAAAATATTCCTATCATCATTATGGATATTAATTATTTTTGAATCAAATATTAAAAAAGAATTTAAAAAAAACTGTCTGCCAATTTTTGGGATTAAACATATTTTGAAAAATTCTTAGGCATGATCGTTCAAAGCATTTCTGGAATGGCAAAAAGCCTGACCAAATATTAACTGAGCTGTATATTAAACAGAAAACTAAACATTAAAGAACCGGTAAATTCTATAAGTCTGTGATTCTATAGTTCCTGGAATTGAAGAAGCTATAATAAATCCCTGTGATTAAAGTATATTTCTTAGACTGTACGTTAGATCCCAGAGCTTCATGGATAATTTCTTCCTACAGACATGCAAGGAAATAGTATGTGCGGCTTCTTTATAACATCATCTACTGTATCATTTCGTGTGAAAGTGCCACAGAATTTAACACCAGAAGGAACCACCAGATCATCTAGTCTGACCTACTGTGTATCACAGGATATCAATATAACCCAACACACACACACTAAACCCAACAACCGAAACTAGACTGAAGCACTACAGCCCACAGTGAAGGATGCACAGAAAAAAAGAACACAGGAGGTGAGGTGGGGACCTACAGAAGCGATGACACAGCAGTATTACAGCAACAAAGAAAATCAGGTAGAACAACAGTATCAAGGCTTCTTCATCATTTTAATTTTTAGTCCTGTTCAAAATAAACCCTTGGAAGACTGAAAAGGAAATCTGTTTCCTTAACAGAATCCCTATCCCCTTTTTCAACTGTACACCTACACAAGTCTGTTGTAGTATTCATCTTGGAGAAATAAAATAAGATTACATGGTCTTTGCAAAGTGATACAGGGGAAAATGTTGGTCATTAAGTTTTAGAGAGGAAGGTTTTGGTCTTGTGGTTAAAACACTGGCCTAGGATTTTGGAGACCTATATTTAATCCCTTGCTCTACACAGCCTTCCTACTTAATTTCTCTTTGTCTCTGCTCTCCATCTGTAAAACTGTGATAATAATTCTTCCTTTCTCTCACACTCTGTCTGTCTGATCTATTTAGATCATGAGCTTTTTGGGGTGGGAATGTCTATTACTATTTGTTTGTATAGTACAGTATGTAGCAGAGTAAGGCCCTAATCTTGGTTGTACTCTCTAAATTCTACTGAAATAAAATAATTGTAATAAGTTCTGGTATCACTTTCAGCTTCGCACTCTTTAATTCCCTTCCCTCCTTCGCCGTCCATAGCATTTTTGTGGGAACTCAGATCACTGTATGATATTATACATAAAGGGCCAGATCCCAGGCCCCTCTGCCAACTACTCCTGGGCTATTGTGGCAGTGCAAAACAACTGAAAAGCTGTCCTAAAGAGGCAACCAGAAATCCCAGCATATACTTCCCCCATTTCCCCCCCACACTCACACACACACACTTTGGGAATATAGTAGGGGGGCAGGGCCAGAAAGCCCGGGCTCCAGCCTTTCTTTGGCCAGAAGAATGGTCCCAATGGCACCACAGAGGCTGGTATAATTTAGTCCAGTGTTTCCCAAACTTGGGACACCGCTTGTTCAGGGAAAGCCCCTGGCGAGCCAGGCCAGTTTGTTTACCTGCGTCGTCCGCAGGTTCAGCTGATCACAGCTCCCACTGACCGTGGTTCGTCGCTCCTGGCCAATGGGGTCTGCAGGAAGCAGCAGCCGGTACGTCCCTCAGCCCGCGCTGCTTCCCGCAGCCCCCATTGGCCTGCAGTGGCGAACTGCGGCCAGTGGGAGCCCCGATCAGCCGAACCTGTGGACGTGGCAGGTAAACAAACTGGCCTGGCCTGCCAGGGGCTTTCGTTGAACAAGCAGCGTCCCAACTTTGGGAAACACTGATTTAGTCCATAGATTGCTCTAACTTATACCAAAGGCTTAAATGTCTCCTAGTGGCCCTAGGATCAGGGAAATGGAAAGATGTCTTAAAGACACCTTCCTCTCCTCCCCTTACTACACCAAGTCCTCAGTGTTGCAAAAAGCTACAGTTTACACCTCCCTGCAGCACCAGGGGTAGTTTTGTCTGTGTGTGCTGTAATTGCTGTATTCAGTGGGATGAGTTAAAAGGGCAAAATCTAAGTTGACAGGCTCAAAATTTGGCCACAGAACATTACAATAGTTTTACAAATATCTCCTGGATACTGAAAACTCTGTTAACTCTAAAAGAAGAGGAGAGGAACCTGGGTAAAATTCTTAATTCTCTGCTGGGCAGCTCACTCCCACCAACAAAACCAAACCAAGAGCGCTGAATTAGTTTGGATTCATGATAATTTACAACACATCATCTATGTCCGCTGCCTGCCTGCTCCTTTCCTGTAAACTGAACCTGCAACTGACAAGAAGATTGCTCTGGAGCAAAAGACTTTTGTAACTTTTAGTCACCCGCTGGCACCCAAGAATGGAACCCACTTGTGGGGACAGCATGAAGCAAATCTACTCACTTGCTTCATGTACACATATACAAAACAATGCAAAACTGGTACCAATAGGTTTCATTTCAGACCAACACCCTACCTTCTCCCCTTGCTTAACAGCAGAGAAATTAAATGCTTCTTGGGATGCCATATTCTCCATTTTGCTGTTTTCTGGAATAGTTTCATAAAAGCCCTCTCTTCAGTGACATTTTGTGCTCCCAAAGAGGTGAAATCTTCTGACAAAATTTGCAGAGGATAATTTTCAGACTCATGAATAACAATCTCTCCCTTTCTCACTTCTGATGACATTTAAAACCAAAGTGAAGAACCGAGCCACAGTACTACACTTCACAGTCTGAATTATATCTACATAAATTATGCAAAATATTCATTTTCACTTGTTTTCCTTTTGTTTTTATGATTATAAGTGTGAAGTAATTTATTCTGCCAAGATCCAATCTGCATTACAAGTGATGACTGAATTAGATGGATAGGCCTAAGTAGTACTTGAAAAAATATTGAAGAGGTATCAAATGTAAAATAATTGAAAGTTGAAGTGCCAAATGAGGTGTGGGTATCACAGATGAACCTTATAAAGGATACTACAATGATGGTCTGAAACACTACAGCCTACAATAATATTATCATAGTGTTTTTACCAATTCTGTAGGATAGCAAATATTTGTTTTTTAATAAGGGAAATATTTGTAAATACAACAGAACTTGAGGCAAGTGTTCATCCTTATCTATTTAAATCTTTTCTTCCATCATAGGCACTGCCTAGATTAGGAAAAGGAAATGTTTTTAGCAAGTGTGTTAGCTAATATATTTATAAGCACCATTGTCTTTGTCTCCACTGGCTGCAAAGTGGAGTTTTAAAATGTGTTAAGTAAGTGTTCTGCTAACACGTTTGCTAAACACTTCTGTTTTCCTAAGTTTTGTCTTCACCACAAAAAATGTGTATTTTTTTTACATCTAAGTAGCCATGTCTCTGTAAAAATGTAACAGAAACAAGGGCAGGTAAGTTCTTCATTTAAATGGAGCTAGTCAAGGTCAACTCTATATCCCCACCTGGGTGTGTGCCTTGTCTCCACTAGGATTTTACAGCAAGATAGTTACCTAGGTGTAAAAAACCACCATTTTTTTGCAGTGAAGACACTGCCCTGGTAAAGACAGCACTTCTGTGAGCTTAAGTCAAACAGTGATTCAAATACAGGACAGGAGCAGAGCCTGTAATTTGAATACCTAAATTCAGAAATACACAGGAAAAAACCATGGCTACATGCAATTATAAAAATCTCCATCACTACCCCAACACTACCACCACCAATACTAATTATTCCCTTCTAACTTTCAAGGCTCTGTTTTCCTCCAAAAAGTTGTAACAAGTTTCTAGCAGTGAAAAAAATCTACCCAGAAAAGTCATCAAGGTACCACCAGAAGGACACACACATCCATTTTTTGTACACCCAATTATTGGGCTAATTCTCCTGTCATTTACACTGTTTTTACACCACTGTAACCAAACTGATCAATGGAGTTACTCCTGATTTACAAGTGTGGGAATCAGGCTCACTGACTTCACCAGGAGTCACAGCAGCACTTACACATGAATATCAGGCATTAGATGTTTCCAAGCACAAAATAAATTTAAATTTAATACCCCAAGAATGCAGAGACACAAACCACAGTGCAAGCCATGGGACGATTGACTATGCAATCACTGTGACAGGGAAGAAAGCAAACCAAACATTTTCTACTCTAGTATTCCAAATATGAGGAAGATCTAGAAACCTGTTTCTTCAGATTACCAAATATAATAAAATACTTTCCATTAAAAAGTGGTGAGGACAAACCTGTGTATAACTTCAGGAACTGGAAAGGGAGGGTAGAGATAGCATCATGCTATGTAACAACCTTCTACCAAACTAGGAAAAATGAAAAGGACAAATGATCATGAGGGATATGACCACAAACACCTGTGAAACGATATAATGGGGAGACAATGAATCTATGATTTCTGCCTCTGAAAAAGACCTGAATTTATTTATTTATTTATTTATTATTTTATTTAAGAGTTTACATTTTGGTAGTCAATTTTCATTTAGTTTGTCGTGCCTACCATTGACTTGAACTGAGTATATAGTAGAGGAGATCCTAACTTTGTCCTGGTCCAAGGATAAAACTTTTACATAGTGATCCGTGATGTTCATCTACAAAGTGCACATTTTTCTTCTCCTTACATTGTCCATCCTGGCACCTGTAGTTCTAACTTACCATCAGAAAGCGTCATGACAGTAAGATCTTCAGTGGATACCCCAGGGCCATATCGGTTATAAGCCAGGAATCGTAAGGTGTATTCCGTGAATTTTTTCAGCCCCTCCAGTTTGTATGATAGTCCATCAACCTCTATATTCTGGGCACATAAAAATGATAACTGTTACGAAGGGGAAACATTAAAGAAGATATGACAGTAATGCTGAGGGATGAACTGATTACACAGTAGGGCTTTTCTATGTCTAAGAGGTAATGCTAAATCCTTATTTAAGTTGCTGTAAAAGGTAATTTGTAACATAGCATTGCTTGTTACAGCTCAGTTCTCAATAGATTATGATATTAAACTGCCACAGTTCAAGATATAGCTGACTCTGGTGCTTATACCTTTGGTTTAGTTATTTAAAGCACAGTAGAAAGTTACCTTACTTAAATCAATCACTCCTTCTCCCATAAGAAAGTGATAGGGAAAGGAAGAAGGGAAGAGAAGGGAGAAAATAAGGACTAGGAGTCATGGAGGAATTCCAGGAAAAAAAGGAGAGAGTGAAATAAAGAAAGACAAGAGAAGAGAGAGAAGATTTTGGGGGGTGAAGAAGCCAGATAAATCTACCCTGGGATTTATGATGCCTGTGACTGTTACAGGCTACTAATAAATTAAACTGGCTCAGATGGAGAAAAAGGGAGTCCCTATTTTACTACCCTGTCCTCTTCTAAATCTCTATTATTATTTTTTTTAAGTCACATTTCAACCACATAGCATCTTTCAATGACCTCTACTGGATCACTATGCCACCTTAACTTTACATCAGCTACTGATGTACTATGTTAACAGTCTGAACTGTTTAAACTGTTTATTTGCTAGAGTGCAGGATCATTGGAGCAGAGACCATGATCTTATATGTTTCCACATAAAAACACACAGTCATTGCAGAACACCAATAATAATGATGATGCAAATTCCCTTTGTTTATATCTCTCATTTATGAGAAATACAGATAATGCCTAGACTGGGTTTATATATTTACACTCCTGGAATGGACCTGGCCCTGAGGAAAGGGAAAATGAGCCACTGAGGAAATAAATTAGATCATATCTACCCCCATTTCATTGGTAGAACTTCCCTTAACATCAGTAGTAGTTCTGCACAAATATAACAGGGATTCTGTGTCTGAAAAATCTAAAGGACTGTTATAAGGGAAGGGCTCTTTGCTTCGTTTCTAGATTTTGGATAAGAAAGGTAAACTAAGGGCTTGATTCTCTCCTGCTTACACCAATCGTATGCTGGTATGAATCCATAAGGCCTGATCCTGCTTCCATATTAGTAAATCATAAGACTAACGTGGATTTCAATAGGCCATCCCATTTACTGCCATGGAGATACTCCTGTCTTGCACAGTGTAAGTGAAAGAAGAATGAGTTCCTTTATATATTAAAGTATTTTGTAATAGGCCTGTGTAATATTCAGCTAAAGTGGCATGTAAATTCTCACATTCAAACCTGCCAGGGGTTCTAACGACTTGATTTTTTTAAAAAAAATCCCGTCTACTCACTGCCTTTCAATGCACATTTCCAAGGTACTTAACCTGAGGAGTAACCACTCCAGTCTGTTATGCCATTGAAGCACCAAAATTTCCACTATCAACAGGTTTAAAGCTGCTGAACAGATATCCTCAATCACTTGGATTGAACGCTTCTTCTCCTTCCTGTCTGATTTTGTCATGTCATCCAGCAAAAGCCTGCTCTCACAACTAACTGAAAGAAGAACATACAGCTCCATTAACTTGCTCACCTGTTCTTTTCCAGTAACAGTCTCTGTGCAGAACAATCTGTAACCTTGGACTGGACCATTTGCATAGGCAGGGGGTTCCCAGGAAAGAAGAACTGAGGTAGGTGAGGTAGATACAGCCCGCAGGTTTTCCACTGGCCCTGGAACTTGCACTGTATGAAGAAAAATTGCCTGAATAAAAGCAGTCATTCATTGCAGCTCAGTTCCTTAATCATTTCATTATCCTTTTGATTGCTCTGGCATATCCAGCCCCAATATGCGTCCCCAAAAGCGCACACTTTTCCTGCTATATATGGCTGTGCAGAGTTGAATGTTTTTAACATTGGAGTGAAGCGTGTTTCTCTATGAGGAAGCATTTAATAGACTTGAATGGTGTTGGGGCAAAGCACGATTAATCCATAAAGAAGCTCCGCAGAGTGATACAACATTGCATCACAATAACCTTCTAAGTACAGAGGTGGCTTTGTAAAATACTGCCCTTCGTTTAGCATGTTGTTACAAGAAGTATGAGCTATACTTGTGATTAATTCCTAGTGCATGGAAACAGAGAAGTTGCTCTCCTTTCCCTTCCCTCGCATTCCTTCACCTTTCTGCACTTCTGCTTTTTGTTTTGTTTTTTCTTAATATTCTCTCCTAATTTTTCAAATCTATCTACCTATCTAATATGAGGTATAGAAAAAACAGTCCAAATCTGATCAATCCCAAGACTGGTTCAAGAAAAGGAGGAACTTTAGCAGACCCATTACTCTCTACTTATAAAAGAGCAAAACTGAAAGACACACAACCTAAAATATCAACACAAAACCCAGCTTTTCAGAGAAATACAACGTAGCCTTACCATACTTCTTGAATATCTATTCAAGCTCTGTATAGACTGGCTCAACTGCTACTTGTTTAAAAATTGATTTAATGCATCATATATTGGCTTGGCCTCCTATTACCAGTGCAACAATGGGGTTTTAGTATCACTCCTACTTACATTGTTGCTTCATGTCCCTGTATATTTACTTAACCTTAGATATATTTTATATGCTTTCCTGTAACTATCTCTTTGGATCACAAATGCATGGTTGCTAAAAGTAATCATCATAATAAAAGTAATCTTGGGCATGCACTGAGGGCCAAACTGGGAACTATGAAACACACAAGTAATCCTATTGCCTTCATGGATTCACAGTTTGCCACTGAACATTGCTAGTGATTTGGTAGGAAGAAATGCAGTTTAGTGTGACTGAGATATAAGTAAAAACTTTCAAACCTGGATGCCTAAAGTTAGGTCCTGATATCCATATTTAGGCACTTAAAGAACTTTCAGGTTTGAATTTCTGGTGAAAGATAATTATATGAATTGGTAAGAAAAAGTAGCACATCCCCAGTTCTGTTTCATAACAATGGTTTTGTATTTGTGCAATATCTAGCACTCCGAAGATGTTACTGGAACTCAATACTTATAAAACTAAAAGCAACAATAAAAGTGTTATAAACTGCAACCATCTGACAAAATCTTGCAATTATTGGAGTTAGTGCAACCAGTTCTAACAATACTTTAACCTGGAACAGAGTTATTTTCAGGCAAAGGAAAATCTGGGGCCAAAAACACAGAAAGCTGAATTATTTTCCATTTTCAGTATGATTTCATAAAATTTGGGGTAGGAGGTGAGAGAGGAGATTTTTTTTTGGCATGAACTAACCCAAAATGAAATTGCCTGTTTTCTTCACAAATTTCATGGAAAAGCCCCCCCCCCCCCCGCAGTGTTGCATAGCTCTATGTTTTTATGTTTTATGTTTTTCACTCTTAATTCTGATTGTCACACATTATTAATGTTATGCATTCACTGTTGACTTGAACTAGTTACCAAATAACAAAAGTGCTATACTTGGGAAACTCCCTTTACCACTAATAGCCATTCCATACATAATCATTCCTCACATGTCGGGCAATGAGAAGGAACCACTACGCTGACTAATACTTTCAAGTCTGTCTCTACAGTTCATCTGTCCCTTCAGCTGGAACCCAAGGAGAAGAGTAACAGATGAGAGAAAAAGGAAGAAAATTGGCAGAAAAGTCGCAGAACAAGTGGAGAACCAATTCTGAAAATGATCTAAACTCTAAAGACTGGTGTGATCAACAGTGTTTAATATATCTGAGTTGTTGTTGCATGTCTATACCTTTTTCTTGCCTGAATATGAAATGGTCTATTCATATTTTACATATAGAAAATGCCATCAGGCAAAACAAATTTGCCAGTTATTGTGCAGTTGAAAGATAGCAGCATTACAATTCCTATAAAAGGCTTTTCACAGTCAAATGAATGTTACCAGACAATTTCATAGAAGAAAGCTGTTAGGGTAAAACTAACAGGTTTGTGGCAAGTGACAGGGAAAGAACATGACACTTTCTTCTGCTAATACCTGTGTATTTAACAATATACTAAATGCAAAGTGGAGGATATCTAAAAGACTGCCACCCGGCCCAGAGTAAAGATCATGGTTGACAATTTCATTCCTCTGGCCCAAACAGAACTCTGTAATAAGGATAAACCATGGGAGACAGAACTTTCTCAGGGGCTAGACCGAGACGTGGAGTGAACTAGTCCCTCAGGAACCAAGGCTTGTCACTCTCTACTCCAAGTGTAAGGGGCATTTCTTTGACTTCTAACAAATACATAGCAACATGTGTATTAAAAAACCCAAAACCAAACAATTCACTCGGGTGCACACACTGCACCCTCTGGGGAGAGGAGGAAAAAACGAACAACACATGCCAGATGTCTGTCACATAGCTGAATGTACTACTGGAAGGCACTCAGATACTGTGGTGATGAGCATGGTAGGAGAACCAATACAGAATTTGTAGAAAGCTAAAAATCAGTGAAAGGCTGCCAGTGACATATACTTTTAAATGGCTTTCAATATTCACTCTAATATAGAATTAATACATTTTAAAAGGTTTTTTCCCTCCAGCTTTCCATTTCATTATATTTCAGTTTGCCTGACAGGCCCGCTAATATGCTAAACTTCTCAACACTTTGGCATGCAGAAATTCTTTAGTCTCTGCTGATCCCTGCTGACAATAATGTAGGGGGAAATAGCATTTTGTTTTGGTCCTTGTTTTCCTGTTACTTTTTTGTTTTTGTTTTTTTGTTGGTGGGAAGGCTTTAGAAGTACAGCAAGAGCCATTCAAGCAGCACAAACCACTTCTCCCAGAAAAGTCATTCTCTTTAGATCAATCAGTTTCCTGGCCAAAAAGAAACATACCCAAAGATGGGAAAGAGCAAAGATTGAGTGCTTTTTGCCCCATATGGACTGTGCATAAACTGTGAAGTCATATTTATATTTGATCATTAATACTCACATGAACAAAACATGCTAAGCCTACTTATTCCATTGAGAATTTTCCTCCTGAAGTTTGAGACACTTTTGTAAAATAAAAGCTACATTAATTGTGAAAGAATTTGATTCTACTCTCACGTATAGCAGTTTTACACCACTGCGAACCCACTGATTTCAGTGGAGTTACTCCTGATTTAGACCATGTAAATGGGAACAGAATCAAGCCTAAAGCTACAAGTGGCCAAATTCTATATCATTTTCAAGGCTGGCTTTAGAAATATGGTTCCGTTCAATATCTACATAAATGATATTGTGAATAGCATAGAGAGTTCACTTATAAAGTTTGTGGACAATATCAAGGTGGGAGGGGTTGCAAGCACTTTGGAGGACAGAATTAGAATTCAAAATTGCAAATGACTGCCCAAGAAGGAGTACTGCAGAAAGGGGCCTGGGGCTTATAGTGGATCACAAACTAAATATTAGTTAATCACTGAAACAAATTACCTTGAGAGGTCATGGAATCTCTGCCATTGGAGGTTTTTGAGAACAAGTTGGACAAACATCTGTCAGAGATGGTCTAAAATACTTAATCCTGCCTCAGTGTGGGGGACTTGACTAGATAACCTATTGAGGTCCCTTCCTGTCCTACATTTCTTTGATCTATAATACCTATAACTGTCTTAATTTCTCCATAACTGCTAAAGGTTCCACTGTTTCTCATTGTGCCTGAGTGGAGTTAATAGGGCCCCATTTCAGCAAAGCATTTCAGCATGTGCTTTATGTCCATTCCTATTCAGCCAAGCACTTAAGCACATTGTGCAACTTAAGCAGTTGCTTAAAGTTAGGCACATGCTTCTGGACTTCATTGAATAGGAATAGGCTGCTGAACTGGGGTGTGAGAATTTTAACATTGGTTTCAGTGCGCACAGGTTCAAACCTAACAAAAGCTGCCTTTTTTATTACTTCCAGCAGATTGTCCCCTCTGATGAGGTAGGTCAAGACAAAGGAAACGTAGGTCAGCATTTGAATGCATAAGGAAGGCAAAAAACATTCACAGCTGCTGAAATAGAACAGTGTTTATTTTTTAAACGGTCAAAACCAATGTTTTTAGATTAGAAGTCAATTAAAAAAACGTTGTGAGCTTAATTTCAGTAGGTGTATAGAAGTAAGAGGTCCAGGACCTGTTTTTCAGTGCTCCATAAGTGCTACTGCCTACTTTGGTCATGCATAACCAGATTCACAGAATCATAGAATATCAGGGTTGGAAGGGACCTCAGGAGGTCATCTAGTCCAACCCCCTGCTCAAAGCAGGACCAATCCCCAATTAAATCATCCCAGCCAGGGCTTTGTCAAGCCTGACCTTAAAAACCTCTAAGGAAGGAGATTCTACCACCCCCCTAGGCAACGCATTGCAGTGTTTCACCACCCTCATAGTGAAAAAGTTTTTCCTAATATCCAACCTAAACCTCCCCCACTGCAACTTGAGACCATTACTCCTTGTCCTGTCCTCTTCTACCACTGAGAATAGTCTAGAACCATCCTCTTTGGAACCACCTCTCAGGTAGTTGAAAGCAGCTGTCAAATCCTCCCTCATTCTTCTCTTCTGCAGACTAAACAATCCCAGTTCCCTCAGCCTCTCCTCATAAGTCATGTGTTCCAGAGCCCTAATCATTTTTGTTGCCCTTCGCTGGACTCTCTCCAATTTTTCCACATCCTTCTTGTAGTGTGGGGCCCAAAACTGGACACAGTACTCCAGATGAGGCCTCACCAATGTCAAATAGAGGGGAACGATCACGTCCCTTGATCTGCTGGCTATGCC